GGATGGATGGATGGATGGATGGATGGATGGATGTGAGGGGTATGGACCAGCAGTGAGACTTGTTTGGTATTGACTCTGGTGATTTTAGGGTAAGAAGTTCCACAATGCTCTCTGCCTGCTAGAGACCTGGGGAAGATCTGTAGCACGGGCTAGGCCAAAGGTGTGAGAACTCAGGGGTATACAGGTGCATGTCCTGGAGTCCAAAGTCCAAGGTCTCTGGAATTCTCAAGTCCAACAGCAGGAGCAAGAAGGTTCTCTGGCTCCTAGATAGGAAGAGGAAGAGACAGAGACAGAGGCAGAGGAGACAGGGCCAAACCACAAGTACAGAATCACTTTTCTTCTGCCTTCTTGGTCTCTCTGCCCCTCAGCTGATGAGGTGGTTGGGTGAGGACAGGCCTTCCTTACTTGGTCTGATCCAATTGTCAGTCTCTTCCAGAAGCACCCTCATAGCCATGTCCAGGAATAATCCGTACTAGCCATCTGGGCTAGGCAAGTTGACACCTCCACTTAACGCTCACAGTGAGTGGTGCCACTGTCCCCACTGTGACTCCTCTTCTGTTCTACAAGCTGGATCTTTTGCTTTGGAATTCTGAAGAGTTACCACACACATATGCACCACACACACATCCCATATGTACTGAAATAAACACATAGATGCCTTTCAGTCTGAGATTTCTTGAGTTTAGCAACTCTGTCCCCATGAGGAGGGGAGATTCCTTCCCACTTAGCCCCCAGAGGCAGCACAGACAGTAACAAAGCCCAGGCCACATCTCTTGGGAAGACCCCATCAGGCCAGGGCCACAGGTCACAGCACACAGCTAGCCTGGCTGCCGGCTGAGCATGGTCACTGAGAAACACATAGGGGTACTGGGGGTATAGCTCAGCGGCATAAGCACCTGCTTGGCAAGAAACACAGGAGACCTGCTTCCTGTAAAATGTGCCCAAGGCCACTGTGAGTGTTTCAGGGTCTGCATTGTTCTTTACTTGGAATAAATGGGTCTCCCGTTGTTTCTTTTGTCTTCTAGTTTATCTATGATGAAGAAATTGTGTGGTAAGTTTCTTTAAGTTTATTTTATATCACTTTTTTGGTGGGGGAGGAAAGGGCTATTAATTTCCAGCATCTTCCTTCGTAGATTTTACAGAATCTTTTTTAGAATCATTTTTATAAACTTAAGCGTATAACTTGGGAAAGGCTGCTGTCATAAGTAGTCCTGACTTTATCCTTTCTAAATGAGAAAAATGGTTTCGTTCTGCATTCCCGCTCTGCCAAACGCCAAGATTTACTATAGAGCTGAAACAATGAGAACAACGCCGGAGTGTTTTGTACAAGGGGAATCCAGTCTCACAGCTCTTCTGGGGATGGGCTGGGGCCGAGGTCAGGACAGGGCAGTGAGTGGGGTTGTAAGTGTCAGAGACCACTGTTGGTCCAGAGAAAACAGCACGCCGCACCAGAGCTGCGCCTTGGGCGTGTGCGAAAATCAGTCTCCGGTGAAGTGAATGTCTGTCAGCATCAAATTGTGTGTGTGTGTGTGTGTGTGTGTGTGTTTTCGAGGTGTTGAACCCAGGGTCTATTCCCTAAGCTATAGCCCCCAGTCAGAGTCTTCTAAGCTTTCCAGGTTGGGCTCAAATGTATGTTCCTCCTGCCTCAGCCTCCCAGAGTACTAGGATTACAGACATGTGCCACCATATTTTACAAAAGGAATTTTTAAAAAGAAATTTTAGAAGAAAATATATATAGACCTTGGCCATTCCTTTAAAAATTGTGATATACATAGAACTGGCCAGGTAGCTCAGGGACAAAAATGCCTTCTCAGACAGGCACGTGGACTGGGGTTCGATCTGCAGCAGGCCGTGCGGGCCCTGCCCCCAGGGTGTGCTGACATAGTGCCTGAGACTGGACTAGGTGACGCGCGCCTGTAAGCCCAGAGCTTGGGAGGCTGAAAACAGAAGGATCACTACGAGTCCCATCTATGTAGTGAGACTCTGTAGTTGCTGTACTAAAATACATTTTTTAAAAACTTATGACAGTGTATTATTAACTGTGGTCATTCTGTAGTTATTTTACTATAAAATTTTCTTATTTTTTATAGAAGAGTGCTTTTTAATATTTTCTTTAGTAATATTTACTTGGAGAACATTAAAATTTTTTAAATGTTTAAAAAGAAAATACAAGAACTCATCTTTAGCACATCCAGGTAGGAACTAAATCCTTAAGATACACAAAGCACAAACTTCTGAGGAACAAGTTGGCAGTGGCTGCATCCCAGGGCGCAGGCGTACAGGTCATATTCGTGTGCCACGCAATTTTCCTGCTTGTCACCGCGAACCAGAGGGTCATTCCTGGTGGGAGTACTCAGACGAAACAGACCAGGGCATCCCTTGTGTGCTGTGCACCCAGAGAAGCCCGGTTCTGCTCTCGTCCTGGCCCCTAACCTGCTGTGGGGCCTCATGAAGCCTCTGCAGCCTCAATCTCATTTTCCTTAAGTGCAGATGGAGCTGGGGTCATGACTCAGTGGTCTGCAGGCTCCCTGGAAGTAAAAGAAGCATTTCCCACAAGACTGTGGCCCACGCCAGGCACACAGGGGCTTCTTAGGCATCTGTCACAGGAACAGAGAAGCTCAGAGGCTGTGGTCAGAAGCACAGGCAACCTCATGGGGAGCATTTGCAAGCAACAGTGCTTTCTAGACCCCCTCCCCCCCCGCAGCCCCCTGCACACGATACTGCACTCAGCACAGCCCAGGAAGCCCCTGAGCCCTGCCCCACCTCTCCCTGGGACCTCCAGCTCTTCCTGCTGCACCCACAGCTTGTCTGGTCCTGACAGACTCTTGAGTGACTGTAGGTTTCCTCCGAGTTTTGTCCCCTGACCCCGATGTGTGGCAACCCTGGTGCTTCCTTTTGCTAGGTCTCTGGGATGGGGCTTTACTTGAGTCCTGTGGACCCCAGCAGTTGAGGAGATCCTTCAGCCTTCTTTCTCTGTCACCACAAGGGCTGTCAGTAGTGAGGCAACCTCAAGCTGGGACGTCACATTCATTGGCCTGGTCCGGGGCTGGGCACTGGGGCCAGGGGAGAGGAGGACACATCAACCTGTCACCCACCCTGCACCCACCAACCGGTTCTCCCTCCTCTCTTTCAGGTGGGAAGGCCTGGTGCTCATCATCTTGTATGTGTTTTACATTCTGATCATGAAGTAAGTGCCCTCCCCCGCCAGCTCCATCCTGCTCTCCTCTTTGCATAGAGCGGGGAAAGTCCTGTGGGGCCTCTGAGACCTTTTGGGAGAGCCCCTATTGTCTGGTGGACCCCTGCTGGTGGCAGCAGCATGCAAGGGGGACAGGTGATCAAACACTGTTCTGGAGGTGCTGAGTACAGTCAGGTGGGGATGTCGTGCTGAGTGCCCAGTGTATGGAGAATGGCACCACTTACTCCCCAGGTGGATCAGCCAGGGGGCCCTCTGTCTCCCTCTGCTCCGGGCAGCTCCCCCATCTTTTTCTGCTGACCCAGTAAGTGTCCTGATCACTCAGTGCCTCTCACCCAAAGCCAGGCAGCTTAACTTCGCAGGGCCACTACTTTGCCCAGCTGCAGAGCCTGGGGGCTCACAGTCCTGGGGACGTGGACACTGTGTTCTGGGTTGAACTCAGACCATCTCAAGGAACCTTAGCCATAAAGAAAAGTGCAATCCTGACACATTCCTGGAGGGATGGGTTGTATGCCTAGGTGGATGGATGGGCCGTGGAGGAGACGCCTGCTAAGTGGAAGCAGCTAATCCTGAAGGACAAGCCCTACATGGTCCCGTGTACATGCGGTATCTGGAAGAGTCAAGTTTATAGAGTCAGACATAGATGAGAGGTCATGGAGGAGCGGGAGGCTGTGGATCAGTGGGTGCAGAGTTGCCGTTTGGGGTGATAAATATGTCTTGGAATCTCAGTGATGGGTGTACAGGCATGTGAACGTAGTTAATCTTACCAAAGTGTGCACTTACAATTGCGGAGCAGTTATACTGGCAAGTTTTTAATGTATTTTTTGCACCCGAAACCCCACAAAACTATTCATGGTCCAGAGCCACATTCTGCTTTCTCTTCTCCTTGACAGGGAGGTCATTAATGAAGAAAGACAGCAATCTGAGGGTTAGGAGAACCTTCCTATCTAGATGTGTTTGCGACATACTTATCATGTGTTATTAAAATGGGTGATAAACTATCACATTGCAAGAGAATTGTCTGAAAGCAGCCCCTTCTCTGAAGGCCCGTCAGTTAGGAACCTCTTGGGGGATGGTGGTACTGGCTATGGGTGGTATAGGAGGGCCACCAAGGAGCCCGTGTGAACCAGAGTTGCCACTGGGGACAGGCCAGGCCAATAATGCCTTCTTGGAGCTGTCCCTTAAGCTGAGCTGAACTCCTTTTATTAGAACAGACTTGCAACATACCGTATGTAGGATTCTGTTGCTCCTGGGCAGAAGGTCTCTGCTGCCCTCTGGGAGCTCTAATAGGGCAATAGGAGCAGAAGTCCCCAGACCTCGCATTGTTCTAGGGTTCTTGTTAAGAGACCCCCTTTGAGGTCCATTGGGAGCTCCCTGGTTGTCCAGAGCCAGGGCGACCACACAGGCTGGTGTTAGGCACAAGATCCAATAGAGAGTGGCCACCTACCCAGTTGGCAGAGACCCCTCTACTGCCCTGACCCCCTCCTCACCCAACTTGCAGGTACAATGTGAAGATGCAAGCCTTTTTCACCACCAAACAAAAGAGCATTGCAAATGGCAACCCAGCCAACAGCGAGCTGGAGGATGGTAATGACTTCTATGACGGTAGCTATGACGACCCTTCCGTGCCATTGCTGAGGCAAGGTAAGGCTGAGCAGACAGGAGTGGGGACACTTGTCCTGGAAGCCACCTCCCCCACACACACACACACAAACACGTACATACACACACACACACACACACACACACACACACACACACACACCTACACTGTCGTCACCGTCCTGCTCTTACCTTTGGTCACACTCCAAATGAGAAGTGAGAATGACAGTTTAAGGTGCACTCATTGGCTTAGCTGGAGGGAGGATGGCGGGGAGAATGTATCAGGAAGGAGCTGCCAGAGCTCCATCTGCAGGAATTTGCCCAAGCCTAAGAGGTCTTGCCTTTTCTAAAGATATTGCCATGGAAACTTCTGACAGTGGAGCGCCAGCCTCACCCCCCCTCTCCAGGCAGGTGGCTCTGCAGTCACCACACCAGAAGGAGAGTAAAGACTGCCAGCTGGTGGATTTTTACAGAAAACCACTCTTGGGCTCGTAGTAGAACATTTGCCTCACATTCATGAGGCCCTGGGTTCAATCCACAGTATTGCAAAGCAATTTAAAAAAAGGAAAGAACTTACCCAACCCTTATCACTTTGAGTGTTTTTCATATGAAATTAAAAATTACAAAATTCAGTGTCCTAGCAGGAGAAGAAGCAAAGCCCTTTCCCTGCCTCTCTCTAGTATGCCACTTTACACTGAGGTGTTCTTAGTGGTCAGCACTCAGCTCACTAGATTGAGGTGCTGGCTGCCTCCCACGTGGCCTTTTTCAGAGCCTGGGTCGCCTGACCACCCCTTGCCACATGTCCCAAGCTTCCGTAGCTCTCTGAGAACTCACTAGAGGTCACACAGCCTGCCCCAGGCATCACGTGGGCTTGGAACAGGAAGGTGGAGACAGTACTCAGCCTTGGACTGAGGTGCTGGCAAAACATGCTGTCCTCATGTGGGCCTTGGGGTGGCCGCCCTTGGCGTGGACACACCACTTTGTAGTGTCACATGGTAGGCGCCCCCAGATGGGGTGTCCCAGGAGCAGGTGCTGTGACTGCCTCCTTCTGAACCCATCAGTTCCCAAGCAGCCCTTGTGACAAGGCCAGTTCTACAGAATAGATCCTGGAGCCTGCAGTGTGGCTGGTGTCTTGGCCCTCTGAGATGGAGGCCCCAAGCACCAAGGCTCCCTGGGGAAGGAACCCCCTACTAACGCTCTCCTTCAGTAACCCCTGGCATCCTTGCCACCATCAAGAATGCTGCCCCAGACTCCACCGCACGCTAATCATCCCTGGCAATCTCTGTTGGCCTCTGTCTCCTTAACTCTTCTCCTCTTCTAAATTGTAAGTAATCTGTTCTCTCCAAGCAATAACACTTGCATCTAAACAATAAATAAACCCACCATGAGCGCAGCCCAGCAGCGCACGCCTCGTTGGAGGTTAGTGTCCACCTCCACGAATGCATGGGCCTCCCGACTGGCTTCTAACCCACATGCCTCCTGTCTGCTGAGCCTTGCTGCCTGTTGGGTGCCGTGTGTGTGTGCGTGTATGTGGTGTGTGCTTTGTGCATTTCTGTGCCATTAACTCTTGCATGGGTTTGCTCTCTAGACCTTCCCTACTACATGGGATCTGGTGGCCAGTGCAGAGGGACAGCCACGTCTTTCTTCACAGCCCCGTAGAGGGGGTGTCATGCCTGCTTCTGTGTGCTGTGTTCATGAGCGAAGGCTTGGGGGATCTGGAGGCCAATGTCAAATCCCCCAGGACACGAGCACTCAGCACATTTGTGGAGGTGGCAAAGAAGAGAGGGCCAGGGCTGGGAGCTTTGTTCAGCTTCCTGAAGAGAAGGAAAGGGTCAGAGAGTGTGGGACTTATCAAGCACACAGGGCTCAGCCAGCAGCTCACCCTGTACTGTGGGGAGAAGCAGGCTTCTGTCCTGGGTCTCTGTAGCCCATTGTAGAGCCAAATCCTTGACTTCATTGTTGGCATTAGAAGCAGCATTGGGAGGGTGACCCCAAGACAGCACAGGGCTTGGAGGCAATTTAGAGCCAGTGCTACTGTCTGATTCTCAGCATTTTCTGCTCCTGGGGACCCTTGTTGATTTGTCAAGTTTCATCTGAGCCCCTAGAGAAAAAGGTCCTAACGCAGGGGTAAAAGGTGCCATCTGAGTGGCAGGTACACTGCTCTGGGAAGCTTAGGTGAGGAGTAGAGAGACCCCGGCCACCAGCAAAGCTGGCCTAGAAAAGAGGGAGGTGGGCACCGATGGTGAGGCCAGGTCACGTGCCTGCCGATGGCTGGTCCTGTAGCAGGGGATGGCACTGGGCTCTGTCCGGGGTGTAGCACGACTGTAGGGGATGCAGAACCTGTGGTCCACTTTGAAAGCAGGAGGATCTGAAGCCAGGCCTCTAGGCCTTCAGGTACCCCGACCCTTGGGTCCCCAACCCTAGACCTTCACAAGCGAGGGGGAGCCAGCGGCCCCAGCCCTCGGGCTGTCCCCAGAGAGCCCAGCACTAATCATGGCACTGTGCCCCACAGTGAAGGAGAAGCCCCAGTACAGCAAAAGCCCCGTGGTGATGGTGGACGAGCTCATGAGCTCCAGCCCGCCCAAGTTCAGCTTCCCGGAGGCTGGCCTGCGCATCATGATCACCAATAAGTTTGGGCCCAGGACCCGACTACGGATGGCCAGCAGGATCATAATTAATGAGGTGAGTGAGCAGGGCAGCAGAGTGGTGGCCAGGGTTGGTGCTGGCTTATTAGAACTCTTGCCCTGGAATGTTACAGAGAAGCAGGCAAGACCAAACTCATTCCCTGGGAGAAATGCCTAAGATATGTGGCTTCATTGGTCATGCAGGGCAGAGGGCATCAAAGGAAGTAACACTTAGTCTCATTTTACTGTCCTCACCCAAAGATGAGTTAGCAAGGCATCCAGAAGTCCCCCCACCTACCCCTGGGGCGCCACCGCCCAAATCTGAGCCTGGACTGCAAATAGACTGTATGGACTGTCCGGGGTCCATCTAGTCCCTTCTCCTGTCCCTTCTTTCTCTGTCATTATCCCTCATAATATCCAGTCCTCCTGCTTACATTGCTTGTCACGGCCCTTTCCACATGGTAGCAGACAGCTGCCACCCAGATTCTGTCCTGAGTATGACCTTTGTTGGAACTGTCCACCCCTCTTCCTGGGCACTATGAACATCCATCTAGTTCTCTCAACATGTGGTTCTGTCACCTCCCTTGTATCCTAATTTACACCTCTTTTAATATAACCTTAACTAGCTTTAGATGTTTTTCCAGGTATGGTCCTCTGTTGGCTCCTACTAAGCTAAAGCCATGAGCCTCCCCCATCGCCATCATTCACGTTGCCCTTCTCCCATAATTCTGTCTTGGTCCAAGACTATAATTGAACTCCAAGATGATCATTCATTTAACCCTGCTTAAGTGGCAAAGTACTACACCTCCATGTCTGGGTCTCAGTCTCAGGCATGGGCTCCTTTGCTCTATGGTGGACTCAGTGTCATGCACTCTGTCGAAAACAATTGAAAAATTTCCATGCCACCTTACACTTCATGATGGATCGTAAGCCAGAAGCCAACATGCTAATGGTCAGTGCCTCCTTCTTTTAGAGCAATGATAGGATTCTACTTTCAGTGACAATGACCTTCCCTCCCCTAGCTGCAGGGACATGTTCTGGGCACACAGGTAGGGGGTGTTACTACCTTGGGCTGTCTGCCAGCCTTGGCATCTTGCAGAGGTAGTGACAGGATTTATGTGCCCAGCAGGTGATGTCATTGTCACGAAGGGGCAAATTGATCCACAAATACTCTATTGGAAACCAGATAGAGATGCGCTAAGCGGAGGTCAGCAGGTTCACCTGAACACAGGGGCCTGTTGACTTATGGGCATGTAGACTCTGTCCATGACTGAGTTAGCAGAGAGCCACAGACCAGGCCAACAAGAGAAGCCTGGGTGGCTGGGCCAGAGATCTCCTTGGCTGTAATCAGCATGAGATGGAAGGGAGGAAGGAAGGGGCTGGGTTTGGTTGAGGACGTTCACCTTGGAGACGAAGGCCAGGTTGAGGAAATACAGTGAAGTGAAGGACGTTCAGATGTGATCTGAATAGCCAGCAACCTAGAAATATACACAAGGCATTAGATGTCCAGAGAAATGCACACTAAAACCACAATTCTGATACTGCCCCACACCCACCAACTAGCTAAAATTAAAAGGCCTGACAATAGCAAGTGTTGACAAGGACAGGAAACAGCTGGGGGGGGGTCTAGAAATCTGGAATAATGAGAGGCACATGAGGAGCAGGGTGACTGTGTGACACTGTATCAGCGGCTTAGGTGTCTGTCTTGCATGTGCAGCGGCAGAGACTGATCAACTCAGCCAACAGCGTGAGCAGCAAGCCGCTCCAGAACGGGAGGCACGAGAACATGGAGAACGGGAATGTTCCCGGGGAGAACCCCGAGGACCCCCAGCAGGATCAGGAGCGGCAGCCACCACCCCAGCCGCCACCCCCGGAGCCAGAGGTGGTGGAGACGGTCTTCCTATCCCCCTTCTCCATGCCGGGTAAGTTTGTGGGGCTGCTGGGTTGCAAACCAAGCGTCAATAGGCCTAGAGCCCTCCGGTAACCTCCCTTCTCACTTGGAATTGGACCTGTGGCCCAGTGTCATCTGGCTGCTGGCTCCTCATGGACCTCATCTCTTCTTCTCCCTCTTATGTCCTCCACTGTCATCACATCAGCCTCCTTGCTGCCACTGGCAGACCCCAGCAGGATGCGCGCCTCAGGCCCTTTGCACTACCCTTCTCATGGCCGACTTAACCCCGTGTATGCGGCTTGTTCTCTCACCTTTGTGGCTCTTCTGCAGTGTCACTGGCCTTCCTGGATCACGTCCCTTAGAGTATTTTTTGTTCTCCTTGTCTGTGTATCTCCCCCACTAAAATATCACTGGCACAGAAGCAGGCGTCTGCATCGCCAGTGCCTGCATGTAGTAGGCGCTTAGCAGATATCTGTGGGATTCGTGGAGTCAGGACTTCAGGTGGGAGAAGATCCCAGGACCCAGGAGGTCCTCCGCAGTCCTAGGCAGGAAACAGAGATCTCCAGATCCCGGGTCCCCTACTGAGTTGAGTCTGGCTCTCAGAGGTTCTTCCCTGGTGTCCACCATACTGAAAAGCAACAGACTTCCAAAACTTTCAGATCCCAGATATGATGTTCTTCTGAAAACAATCTTGTGTTTAGCATCATGGTCTAGAGGGATAGAGGCTGCTCTGCCCCTTGCCCCAGCCTTGTGAGGGTGCTCCTGGCCCTATGTGACAGTGTGGGCCTGCCAGGCTGGGGCACTGCCACTGTCCTTTGGGGTCACTGGCCTCCCTGGGGCTGTCAGGGACATTGAGAGTGGAGGGGGTCATCTCCAGATGCTGGGCCCTCATGTTGAGTGAGCTGTTCGGACACACAGGTGAGGGAAGGGCTCCACAGGGCCTGATTCTGGGTGGGCAGCTAGTCCCCTGAGAGAGCCACCGTCAGAAATGCTGAGCCTGGACACCCCAGGTAGTCACAGGTCTCGCCACATGCTGTGGCTTCCCCCTGGTGCCTCTCACAGCCCGTGCTGGCCTGACACAGTCAAGCTCTTCCCTTGTGACTGCATGGGACTGAGTAAAGTGACTCAGGATGTAACTGAGGTCACCAAAGGAAAGGGACATGGAGACAAATGCCAAGGAAGTCGCAAGCCTGGTCACAACAAAGGGGCTGCAGACCCCATCTCAGAAACCGCTGAGCCAGTCAGTGGGTGAAGAGGTGCCATGTGTTCTCCAGGTCTGCATCCCCACTGTGCAGAGTGGGGCCCAACAGGACCCCACCTCCATTTTCACCCTGGTTCCATGCTGCCATGGCCAGGTGTCTGCAAGAAAACCAGGGGGAGGGCTCAGCTACTGCTCTGTAAAGTTAGACGACCAGGTAGGAAGATGTATTTCAATTTCCTCCCAGCCCTGGAATATAGCAGGAGTGAGTGGGGAGGCCCCCAGGCCAGCCACCCCTCCCCACATCCTTGTCCCAGGATCTGGTGCTCCTCAGAGATAAGCTGTAGGGTCTCCGGTCAGGTCACCTTCCAGGATGGGGAGCTGAGAATGCCCCCACCCTACCTTGCAAGGGTGGGGACCTGATGGCTCTGGTCCCCTGCTCCTAGGCTCTCTGCTCCAGGGAAACCTCCTCTGAGGCTGCCTTTTCTGCTGTAGTTGTCCCGTCTTCTTCCCCAGACCCAAGCTTTTGGGATGATCCCCTGGGCCCTATCCTATTTGAGCCAAATTCAAGGAATTTCCTTCCTGTCCTCTGTAATAGGCCTGGTTTCCAGTGTCCCAGGGACAGCTCCCTTTGTCCTGCAGATGTGTTTCTAGGTTGCCCTTGGAAACGCCAAGTTGCTTCCTTCTCTTCCTTAGTTATGTGGGTGGAACAGGGAGTGGGAAGAGTTGGACTGCTGCAGTTTTCAGGGTGCACAGCAGCTGGAAATCAAAGCAGCCTGAGCAGAGGTTCACAGGAAGTTAGAGCAAGTCAGGGAGGCCACCAAATCAAAGAAAGTCCTAGTACCCAGCCAGGCCCTGCCTCACCTGCTTTTTCTGGCTCATCTCTGTTTTGGACTATGGCCGAAGGATGCGGGGTGGCTCTGGATGTGCTCTGTAGGGTAATGGTGTCCTGGGCCCCTGGGCCACATAGCGTCAGGGAATGAGTAGCAGGGACTTCAGCCATGGAAGAAGGCATCCCAGGGGCAGCATCAGGGGGCAAGGAGTGAAGCTGAGCTGAATATTAGGTCTTCCATGAGACCAGGAGAAGCCTGGTTCACTGACTCTGGAGCAGAAACCCTGGAACAGACTCTCAGTTCCACTTGTCCCCAGCACATGCTCCTGGGCCACCAGCTTCACCTCCCTCAGCTCTCATTCCCTATCCACAAAATGAGGATGATGGCAAATACCTTCTGGGGTCACTCCGAGCATTCAGTCCAATAACCCAGTCAAGGTCCCTGTGCACTCTGACGCTTAGAGAATGCTCCATAATTGTTCATTTGGACACAGTGCCCCCAGCCACATGGCTTCTCCTGCACCCAGCTACTTTGATCTTTCCCTGTTTGGACCATCAGCAGTGTCCTAGAAAGACCTCGGGGGCCAGGATCTCTGGGGACCTGGGGTTGCCATTATTCCAGGGGCTAACAAGAGGAAATTAGGGTGTGCTGAGCATCTATCCTGTGTTGGGCTCTGGGCACCAGGCACTTAGCAAACACAGACTCTCCCATCAGTGAATATCCAGGCATTGGGCTCGATCTAGGCCTCAGGGACCTGAAGGAGCAGGGTAGGCGTGGTCAGCCGGGAGCCACCCAGAGCAACACTGCACTGTTCTTCCCACTTGAGATTCCAGTTGGGAATCAGGCTTCCCAGGGAAAAGGAGGAACTTTTTCTCCCATGAAGCCATGGACTGCACCCCCTGGCTCTGCCCCTGGCTCAGCATGGGGAAGCCCCTGTTGTTTGTGGCTGGTTTAGGGTCTGGGATGTTTTGTGAGTCCACAGAGGATGTTTGGTGAGTGACCCTGGCCCTTCCAATCAGACCTTTCTCTTCTGCGCCTTGGGGATAGGAAATCACAGGGCTCACCAGGATGCTGGCCTTCCTGTCCCCTATTGTTGCAGCAGCCAGTGTCTACTGGGTTCCTGCCATGTCCCAGGCACAGGTCAAAACAGACTGTTCTCATGTCAGCCCCTAGAACAATCTAGGCAGGTACATTAGCAACAGAATTTACTTTCTCATCCTTCTGGAGCCTGGAAGTCTGGAATCAGGTGCCTACATGGTCGGGTCCTCCTGGGGCCTTTCCCCATGAATGCAGCTGGACACAGAGCCAGCGAGATCTACTTTCTCTCCTTATAAGGATTAGGACCCCACTGCCATGGCCCCATTGAACTTTAAGCACCTCCTAAAAGCCCCACCTCCACATACAGTCACTTTCAGGATTAGTGCTTCAGCGTTCGCACTAGGATAGCAGGCTCACGATACAGGATCTTTGAGGGCTTCTGGATGTCGTGTCCTGCTTGAAGAGCTTCACATGTGTCTCTCATGTAAGCCTCAAAATAACATGCGCTGGGTGTTGGTTATCCCCATTTCACAGAAGAAGACAGGAAGCCCGGAGCTCTGAGGTGACTTGCCCACGGTCACCCAGAGACTAAGTGGAGAGAACTTTCAGCCTGAGCAGCTCGCGCTAGCTCTTCTGCTGTCTCTGCAGGCTTTTCACCCCTGATTAATCCTCACAGCTACCTTTTAAGGGAGTCATGCCACCATCTTCACTTTACAGAGGGGGAAACTGAGGCCCAGAGAAGCTATGGGACTTCCCGAGTCCCATGACACATAGGAAGCTTCTCTTCACCCTGTGCTCCCTGGACTGCGGCTGCCATTAAGGGCTGGTCCGGTGGGGAGCAGAGTCCCAGACCACAGGCCCCAGGGCTGTCACACAGTGGGCAGGTGGCTCTTGAGAAGTTCCCTCCCCTGTGATGCAGTTCATTTGACTTCATTGGAAAAGTTGAAGTCCAGCTCTGGGAGCTCTTGGGATAATAGTAGGATATAAAATGAATCCAAAGCGTGCTCTGAGCCAGGCAGGATGATGTGTGTGAGTTACACTTTGTAGTCTTCATGACAACCCTGCAGAGGTAGGCACCAGTGGTGTTCCTGCTTCACAGCTGAGTTGTCCTGTGTCATAGAGGAGCAGGGTGCACTCCTGGATTTGTACAAGGGTATTCCCACCTCAGAGTTGTGTGGGGTTCAACATCGCCACCCACCAAGTGGATTCGTTTGGTTCTCCATCCATCGGAGCTGTAAGGAAGCCGGTTGCCTCTGTCTGGGATGCCAGTGGCTTCCAGCTTGGACACAGATAGTGGTCTGTATTGACTCCACTGTGATGTGTTGAGTTGGGTTGATGTCCATAGCTGCCCTGGGGACTTGGAGAGTACCAGGCGCCCTGCTCTGCCTGTATTACAATAAAGCCCTGAGCTGGCAGCCAGCAGCTGTCCTTCTCCCTGTTCTTGCCTAGCACCCAAGAGGCCCCGGGCTCCATCCCAGGTACTGTAAAAAACAGAAGTGGTAAAGTCTACATTCAATTTTAGGACATTTTTATTCCCTTCAAAAATCCCATAGCTGGGGCTGGGGAGATAGCTCAGCGGTCTAAGCATCTGCTTGGCAAGCGTAAGACCCCAGGTTTGATCCCTGGCACACATGCCACACTGGCCCCAGAAACACAGGCACACTGTGCCAGCCCTGAAACCAGGCATGGTGGCACACACCTGTAATCCCAGCTTGGGGAGGCTGAGACAGGAGGCTCACTCCAAGTCTCAACTATGTAGTAAGAGCCTGTATCCAATAAGTAAATAATTAAATACATAAATAAATAGAAAAAAATGTGGATCCCATAACCATTAGCAGTTCTTCTCCTGACCTTCTCTGCCCCTTCTGTAGGCCCTGGCAGTTACTGGTTTACTTCCTATCTCTCGGGATTTCTCTGTTCTGAATTTCTCATATAACTGAAATCATGTAACATGTGTCCTTT